AGTCAAAAAAACAAAGCTCATTGTTTACCTTACCTATTTGAAGTGTAAGAGTGATATTACAGTCACATGGGACTATTCAACTTAAGTTTCAGGGCGATGGGCGCAGCTGCAGTGGCCCTCAGGTCTTTGTTCTTTAAAGCATAGAGCGACACCGCAACTGTCGACTTGGTATCATAAAAAAATAAAGGACCTAAAAAAGTAATTTTTGGTAATAATATTTCGTTCGAGCTTTTTATCAAAAAAGTTTAACCCCTAAATACACGTAACTAGTTTCAAAATACATCGGAAAAACCTTTAAAAATTGTTTAATAGGTACATTTTCCTCTTTGCATTTTCCCGTTTTGAAGTAGAAGGCAGATGCTTCTATTTAAAAAACATCCTTAATATTTCCCGACCCAAGTTTCCGCATTTTGCAACGACGATGTTCCTAATCTGCTCCCTTCCTAATGCGAGATTTTACAAGTGTTAATAGGGAACTCAAAATATTACATTACGCTCCAAAATAAACGGGCCGCCTTGTATTTGCGGTGTTATTGTCGAAATGAACAGCTTTATTTGTTTTGTTGCCTATTTTATATCTCATTTAAATGCGTCTCGTACTTATAAAAGTATTTAGTTAGATACTTGATCGTGATGTCTATAAGTATAGTTCGCAAAGCTTTTTTTATCCGAATTGCAAAAAAAAGCATAAATGGCGTAGGTATGTTGAGTATCAATACCTCTAATGCGAGATTTTATTGGATCGATGAAGGATTTTTTTATACTATCAAGTGACGGGACGAATAAGTGACACTTTGCCGTCCACTAACTAAAACGCGACAAATGGTCAAAAACCCGTTTTAATTTTATTTAGTTTTCTTTTTTGTTATTCATTTTCTGTTTCTTTTAATTAAGTTTGTTTTAGTTTTAATTTAGTTCTGTTTTATTTTAATTTTTTTTTACTTCTATTATTGAGTTGTGGTGTTATGTAATAAATGTATTCTATTCTATTCTATTCTATTCTAAATAGCAAAAAGATACAGCACAAATTCTCTTTTTTAATAACAGTTAAAATTAGTTAGCGTGTTCGACTTACCGGAACTTACCCTAACGATGCATAGCTGAAATATCGTTAAACAATTTCAATATTCTAAAACGGGGTTAAGTTTTTTATGATATCATACAAAATGATTTTGTCACTAAGCAGGGTTTTAATTAGCAGGCAGCATTGATAGTAAGCTGTTGCAAAGATCTGACGGCCACTGCCGCTTCGCCTGTCATCTTGAGACATAAGTTGACAAGTCCCATGTGCCTGTAATTTCACCAGCATCCTTACCCTTCAAAACACCAACTCAGCAATACTCACATTACTGTCTGGCGGCAGAAATAGGTAAGGCAGCAGTATTTCCCTCATCGAGTATATAACCATCAATAGAGACGAAATAAGTTTGCATTGAAATATAGACAGGCCAACTTCTGACCTGTGCGTACGTCTCCGTATATTCCAAAAAAATATTCTGTATTTATTACAATAAAGATAATATCTCTAACAATACCGTGCTGTTCTATTCGATGGTGTGAGAAAAACAGCAAAACATCTAATTACAAAACAAACGGAATCACATTTCATCGGTAATTAAATATTAAATATGTAATTTTGCAATTTTCATCCATTATAGCAAAGCTCAACTGTTTCACTTCAAATCGACCAGTTAATGTCGATTTGAAGTGAAACAGTTGACGACACCCGTCAATTCTTTCGAACTCGGGCTAGCCAATCGGAGCGCAGTTGTCACAGTAATAACAAATTAAATAACATTTCGTCTCTATTTCTCGTTATATACTCGATGACTTCCCTGGATGAACTTCACAAGGAGCTCTACTGCTACAAAAAAGGAAAACATAGTGATTAAACCTGGGCACCAAGAATGCTAATTTTAAATCACCTCAGCTGTGTGTCTATAGTCTCAGTGAAAAGACTCTAGTTGCTAAAAAAATGTATATCTGTCATTAATGTCTTGAGAACTATACTCAGGTCACTATACAAAAATAAATCGATTACGCAAATGTTATCAATCCATTACACGTTCCATTGTTGGGCACGGGGCACGGGGGACTTCATACGATTTTCAAAGATCGCGAAACTTCTTCAACTTGTAAGGCCCCATTTCTGTTAATTTTTTTGAAACAATTGGTCATAGTAACTCCATTGATACCGGTGCGGTTCGTAATATATAACAACAAATGACATATTTTTACTCGATATAACGCTCAACAGATATAATTGATTTATGGTATACAGTCATTTGACATATTCTTGCATGATATAAAGGTCACTTGGTATAATAGACGATTGATATAACAACTTTCAATCTAATATACCGATGGAATAATGTTCATTTTATATAAATACTTCAGATATAACATTCACTGAGTATAATGTATTATAAATATAATTCCAGCGGTGTTTAGGTGCAATTCTGGATGAACCGAATTTGTTTGCATTTCCTAGTTGGCTCGACCTCCTCCTGTGGGTTTTGGTTAGGTTAGTTTAGCTTAGTATATAGCAAAGCTGCACGAGCCGAGTGACCGTAGCGAGGGTGTCGCGGCAGCAACCAGCGAGTGTCAGAACCTAAATTGTTTGCATTTGCTAATTGGTTCGACCTCCTCCTGTGGGTGTAGATTAGGTAAGTATATGCAATCAAGTATTTTGCTTAAAGTTTTAATAAATATATTTTGTAACACAAAAAGCACTCAAAGCTGTACAAAACAATTATGTTTTCGATTGTACATTTAATGAAATAAAAAAAATCTTTTCAACATAATATAGGGCGCTTCAACTGTTCATAAAGCGAATTAAAAACATTATACTGGTAGTACTTATACCATTTGTTCATTATGTCACCCCTAATCATTATATCTAATGTTTGTTATACTGAAGGTTCATTATACACATTGATATTATGCCTTTTATTTATTTTTATTTATTTAAACACTTTATTGTACCACAAAGTAACTTACAAATTTTCAGAAACAATTTAAATATTTGTGTACAAAGGCGAGCTTATCCCATAAAGAGATTTCTTCCAACTAACCTTTGAAAAATCTGAGAGGAAAGTTGGTTTTTGGGGTGGCACTAAAAATAGATAAGTAAAGAAATGAAATATACTATACTCAATAAATACACAGATAAATTTAATAAATAACTGTACATACGAATATATATATATTAAGTAATGTTGATACATTAATACATACAAAGTCTATAATAAATTGAATGTACAAAATAAAACTATAAATAAATATATCAAAAGTAACTAAATATTTCAAAAGCTCTAACATGTGGAGTCTGAACAATCCCAAAATTTCAAAAGAGCACCCTTGAAAACCCGAACCGAAGGCGACTGTCTGACCTCGACCGGGAGAAGGTTCCACATACGGGCAGCATTTACTGTGAACGAGTTCGAATATTTTTGGGAACTGTGTTGTGGAAGGACGAGAGACAAATTGGTGCCAGAACGCAGGCTGTCACCCATAGCCTGACGGTATTGAAAACGCTCACGTAGATAGCTAGGTGAAGTGGGATGGAACAGGATTTTATAGAGGAAGCATAAAATGTGAGCATTTCTACGTAAACGAATAGGCAACAACTTCAACTCATCTCTAAACTTGGAAATGTGGTCGTACTTTTTTAATCCAAACACAAATCTGATACATTGATTTTGCAGCCGCTCCAATTTATTAAGAAGGTCCTCCGAAAGATCAAGATAGGAGACGTCACCATAGTCCAGAATAGGAAAAAGAAGAGTGCGTATTAGCATAAATTTGGTAGACAGAGGAAGAAAGTACTGCATCCGCTTGAGGGAATGAAGTGATGCAAAGATTTTACGACTTACATCGGCGACATGCTCCGACCAAGAAAGTGTCTGATCCATTATGATGCCCAAATTTTTAACTGAAGTGGAAAAAGGAATAATAGTGTCATTCAGAACTAAATTGGGCATCACCATAGACTCAAACTTGGAGATGGAATGGCGACTGCCAATAATTATGGCTTGGGACTTTTGTGCATTTAAAAGAAGTCCGTAGTTCTTAGCCCATACCGAAACCTTTTGTAGGTCGGAATTCAATGTGCCGATAGCAGTAACTACATCTTCAAGACGGGCTGCAGTATAGATTTGAAGGTCATCGGCATAGAGATGGAAAGAAGACGTGAGTGATGATGTAATTCCACCGATAAAGACCGAAAAAAGTATAGGTGATAAAACCCCACCCTGCGGAACGCCAGCCGTAAGGCTACACCAGTCCGAGTGCATGTCACCGGTCTTTACGAGCTGGGAACGATCAAATAAATACGAACGAAACCAGGATTGGGCTAAGGGAGGTAGATTTAAAGTTCTAAGCACAGCAAGAAGCAAATTAAAATCAACAGTACTGAAGGCACTGCTAAAATCCAATAAAGTGAGGACAGTAACTTTTTTATTTTCTATATTAAGAAGAGAAGAAGAATGTCGTCAGTGATTTTCACCAGAGCAGAAACTGTGCTATGGCCCGCTCGAAAACCAGACTGCAGATGGTTGAAAATATCGTAACGTAGGAGGTGGTTAGTGAGTCGATTATGGACATAGTGCTCAAGGATTTTGGACAATACAGGAAGTATGGAGATAGGGCGGTAATGGGAGAAAGAAGAAGGATTTGATTTTTTAGGGAGAGGAATTACATGGGCTTGTTTCCAAACAGCGGGAAACACACCACTGGAAAGGGAAAAATTAAGGATATGAGCTAGGATAGGAGCTACTAGGTCCTGTATTGGAGTGATCATGTCAAGACTCAAACCGTCATTACCAACAGCCTTCGTGGTGACAGACTTAAGTATTTTCAACACATCTGCTGTCGTAACCTTTCCAAAATCAAAAGAAGCTGAAGCAAGACAAGGTGCATTGGCCAGGACAGATAAAGTTCGCGATTTTATGACAGAATCTAAACATACTGGGGAAGATGCAAAGTAGTCGTTCAGCGCGTTAAGATCGACATTGAAGGGAAAGACAATGATCAGCTTTACCGATACCCAGTGACTTCAAATATTTCCACATCTTAGTATGCGGACAACCTTCGATAGTGGAGTGAATATGCTTACGCCTGGCGCTCCTACAGAGCTTGTTGCAGCGGTTACGTAACTCGATGTAGGCCTCATTATTGATTTTGGTTGGATTCTTCCGCAATCTGATACGTGCTCTGTTGCGCCTCTCCATAACCTCCTTGATATCTGGCGTGAGCCAAGGCGCGGGGAAATGTTTGACTCGGACAACTTGAAGAGGAGCATGCTTGTCAAAGATGGTCAAAATAATGGAGTTAAAAGCTTGAACCATTTCATTCACGTCCTCCGCTCCAAACACTAGCTCCCAATCAGAATTCAGCACATCATCGAAAAGGGCATTTTTGTCTATTTTAGCATAATTGCGGAGCATTAAGGTTTTATGTCTGCGCTTAGGTGGACGAATTTTGAACGAAGCATAAATTAAATCGTGTGAAGAAAAAGCAGCAGCATTAAACTGTCCATGAGAATCAACCAGCTCAGGAGAAGAAGTGATGATCAGATCAAGAAGGGAAGGTTGACCATTATGCGGAAAGTGAGTGGGATACAACTCGAGGCAATTCAAAAAAAGTGAGTGGAAGAGTGAAAGCAACTTCCTCGATCGGCAGTCACGCTTAACAAGGCAGGTATTGAAGTCACCCATGAGTATAATATGTTCGTAGCGGGTACGTAGATCAGCCAGAACCGACTCTAGTTGCTCAAAATAGTCAACTCTTAGGTGAGGACTGTAAAAAACTCCCAGTAGGGCCCTAGTGTGGTGAAGAGTGACTTCTAAAAAAAGATATTCAGGAGAGTCCGCGCTAGTTACCGACTGTGCTACGATCTCGCAGTCAATGTCACATCGTAGATAAATCGCTACGCCACCTCCACCAACCATCCTCATACGACCGCCCTGGGATCCAATGGTGTAGGCTCGATCGTTACGAATGAGTCTAAAACCTGGTAAAGGGTACTGAGTAGATGGTAGGGAAGGTTTAAGCCATGTCTCCGAAATAAGGACAGCATGAATGTTTTTGCTAGTGAAAGATGTCACGAGATCGTTATAATGACTAGCAAGGCTTTGCGCATTAATATGCACAACGTTAAAGTTTTTCGATAGAGATGAGAAAGCAACCTTCAGTCTTTCCTCAAGCGAGGGCATGTCATCCTCTGCATCCGAAAAAGCAGTTGCAGAGGACGACAAAGAGAAATATTCAGAATCCGAATCAGTGTTCAAAACATCCGACATTGAGCTGATATAATTATAGTTTATGTATAAATAATAGTGTTTATAAATATAATATAAATATAAAATAAATATAATATTATATAGTATAATGTAATATAGTATAATATAATATAATAGTATTTATGAAGACAAATTAACCTTTCCTTTTCAATCAGCTTTCGCCAGCAGCTATTACAGTAAAAGAAAAACAAATTTAAAACCACTAAACTTAATAATAAGAAAGACAATAGGTATATAAACCCGACAATAAAATAACGGCATTTACTGTGAGAAAAAAAAAGAAATAATTAAAAATAAAGAAATTTAAAGTAATTTGCAATAAATTAAAGAATTTTATAACTACACGCATTATCAATTCAAAAAAGTTTAACACAATGATCTTATAAAATGTTCAACAATAACAGTTCTTCCCTAAGGTACTTGCGTGAAACAGAACGTAACTAGCATAAAAAAAAATAAAAAATAAATGACATTAACTGTCAACAAGCAGAATTTTGAACTTTTAGAGGTTACGCAGTAGACGCCTTTGCAAAGGATGCGACAAGAATTGGCGTGTGCAAATACTGTAAGTGCTTTCCCAGAGATCTGCTCGCCATGACTAAACCCCAAATGCTAGCCTCCTGGTCGGTCCTTTGGCAGGAATCACGACAAACTGTTGGTAGACACTATGGTAATCTCCAACCAAATCTACCCACTAAACCCTGGTTTTTTAAACGTCGCGATTTGCCTAAAAACATCACTTCCACTATTATTCGTTTGCGCTTAGGCCATGTTTGCACACCTGTATTTTTGCGTAAAATCAGAGTTCGAGATCACTCTCTGTGCGAGTGCGGCCTAGAAGACGGTACCTTGGAACACATTTTTTTCAATTGTCCTAATATTGCTGTTCCACTTTATAACTTACTTTCTCCAAAATTCCCCCGCCCCGTTAACATAAACAACCTCTTAACTTTAGTGTTCTCCCCCCATATTGTTACTCTATGTAAATTTATCCACTTAAATAACATATATTTATAAATATTGTTTTGCTGTTTTGTTTTACATTCTCAACTGAGTACTCCCGTAGTCCAACTTACCAACACCGGTTAATGTCCTATTAGAGCTTAGCGAAAATTTTTTTTTTGTTTCGTTTTTTTTTCTTTCAACTGTGACATTGGCAAAATCATCAGTTCTCATATTGATGGAGCCATAAAAATAAAAAGTGAAGTGAGGTTACGCATAAAAATAATAAAAGTAAAAGTGGGGTGAAATGAGAAAGTAATTTTGCTGGAAATTATTGAACCAAAATAAATGCTAACAAGAAAACGAAGTACATAGCTTGCTACGCACTGCAGCCGACAATTCGGCATATTATTTGGATTTCGCAGCTGCAGATCTTGTGGGGCGAGTTTTACTTGGAGGCCGGTTGGAAACATCATGTGCTCTCGATAGCGGTGGATTAATTGAGTCACCAACAGCAGACCTTGAGGAGCTACAACCTGTAGCTGAGTTGGATGGATTTGACGGCGGCGTCGGTTTGCAGGTCGTGAAGTCCGATAACTCTGTCATATTTGTGACCTTCTTTTTCGTCCCATCGGAACAAACCACTACGACTTTGCCATTCATAGTCCAGCAGCCCTTGATGCCGAGTCTTTTACGGGCTTCCACAAAAACAGCATGCCTACTGGCAGTGAGGAATTCAGACAGGGTTATACCAGTGCCTTTCAAGCCACGTTTAGCAGCCCATACTCTCTGGCGCAGTTGATGGTCACAGAAACGTAGAAGTATTGGACGAGGCTTTCCCATGGCCACATTCCTCCCCAGTCTGGAGCATACGGTTAGAGAAGGCTGAGATACTTCGCTTATACCTAAGTTGTTACAACAAATGTCTAGAGCTTTTCTCATTGTATTCTCATCTCTTACTTCAGGCACACCGTGCAAGAGCAAGGCATTCGAACGTGACCTCATGTCAAGATCATCTAAGGCCTGATAGATGAATTCCAGCTGTGATCTAAGACCTGAGACGGCCTTCCATATAAAAGATTTAAAAGTATGGAACTCACTGGAAACCACTGCTGAATCTTGTCTGGGAGATGCAAGTGAAGTCTCAAATATTTCCATTTTACTTGCAAAAAGGGCAGCCAGCTCGTCCATGTTCTTTCTCAGCATACTGATGTTGTCCATTGCTGGTTTTGTGTGACAAAACTTGTGTGTTAATTAATTCAACAGTGAAGTGGTTTAATGTGGTGAATGTTAGCTGGTGGCGAAACTGTCAATTACTATAATGCATTTATAGCATGTAAGTCTAAAAATTTCAAAAACTACTATTTTTAAACGTGACTAAATAGGAGTATTAGATAAAGGCGTGTTTTTCGCTTACGCCTACCCGCGAATCTCCATCCATTTTATTGTTATACCTTTTGTTCATTATATACAGTGTGATTATATCCTTAGAGGTTATATCAAATGTTGTTATACAAAGTGAAAATAGATTATTTGTTGTTACATCTTCCATTACACACTCCCATTGACACTCCACAGCAATTATGATAATATTTCTTATTCTGCTAAAATCTAGTTGCAATGGCAGTGGAGTCTCAATAGAGACATGACGATCAATGTTTCCTTACTAAAACTACCATGAAAATATTATATATACCTTAATTTTTATCCTGTTTAATCTGAAATTCAACATATAAATTAAGTATATTTGTCGGCGCCTTTGCTGTTAGCAGTTAGAAAAACGTGAAGCAAATCAGCGCCCTCTATTGGCAGTGCCCAAAACGACGATCATTAATTGATTTGCACCGATATTTCGCTACCTAGTGGTACGAACGGACTCCGTGAATCAGGTGTCAGGTGGTGGCGCTGGTTGGACGGCACAGATAACCTCCTGTTGCACGGTTACGAGTTTTGTTTACATTCGCTCCAGCCGCCGTTTTGTCCACGTGTCCTAATGGTAAGAAGTATCACGCCTGAATCACTTCCTACTGTAAGTGTATTCCGTATTATTTTATGTACTTGCATGGCCGATTGAATTACATTAGACAAATTGGAAATAAACATTTATATCAAGCTGAAATTTTATTTGTATTATGGGGGGCGGGGACGAGCCAGACGAAAAGGGTTCAGCTTCAGCTTGCCTAGTTCTAAATCCGACATATACGACATTAGTAGACCAAGCCATCGACGTGCCATCGACTCGCCATTGCAGAGCAGAGTACCAAAAAATTGCAGTGCAATGGCAGTTCAATAGCAGTTCCACTAGCCACTGACTAGGCGCTATTCTTAGCTTTTAGCAGAATACCAAACGTACAACATTCTATCGACACAGAACTGAGATGGTTAAAAATTACGAAACTTGGTGTCCTGGTCATTGGTGTGGTTAGTGGTACATTATTATTTTATTTTATAGTACATAAAGAAAGCAAGTTAACATAGTAAATAAACATAGCACAAAGTTTATCTTTACTGCAAAAATGTAAAGCAGGCAAAATATTTGCATAAAAATGCACTTCAATAACATTCTTTGTGACGGTAAAGTTTACGGTTTTGTTACTTGTTAAGAAACTATTTTGGTTTTTACAGTACATAATGGATATTAAGGGTGACAGCTTAGTTTGTCCTATTACTTACCAGAAACAAACGGAAAAAATAAGATTACTCCTTACTTTTCTTGTCAACAAATTACTTAATAGAGAACGGACTTTCGTATATTGCAATAAACCTAGTTTACATAACGTACCGCCCTAATCAAACATGATCATTTGGTAGTTCCTAAAAATCCGCTAGATGGCATTGACCCACTCCATATAAGTTCTAAAACGCGGTGTTAAGATTTTCCCTCGAATGGTAACGACCTCAACTGAATTCTGATTATATATCTCTATTACGGGTTATGAGCCTTCAGCTCGCCCTTTAATTCGGTGGCGCAGCCAAGGTCATCAGCGGCCAACTGCAAAACATCCTTCATAAATATATATATTTGTGAAGGAACAACTATAACTATAAAATATAATATATATAACTATAAATATATATAGGAAATGAAACTATTTTTCCGGATTTAAATCGCGTATATTTGTTTTTTCAAACAAACCGACGTTTCGGGTGTAACAATCGCGAAACCTAAGAACTCGATATATATATATATATATTGTATATATATATATATACAATATATTTATTATACTCGTATATTGTATTTATTCATTTAGACAGGTAAGGTATAAAAATACAATAAAAGCGTAAATATTAGAAACTAGAATTAGGATTAAATTATATGAATAAAATTGGGTCCTTGCGATAAAGTGCCCATGACGCTGGCAGCGTTCCCCTTTTGTATAGTATGCTATGCTAATACGTCAGGCAAGGTAGTTGCCGGCCGTTAGGTTTTCCAGGCAGCATTAATTATTTGATAAAATTTTGTAAATAAGAACCCAAGGGTTTCTACTCCAAAAGGTTCAAATAGGTAGTCAGAGCTGAGGTTCTGGTACTTGTTACTCTTTAGTTATTCCGCTGGCCCTCTTGCTGGTGTACTGGAGATGGGACGGGGCAATCGATTGATATCAAGAAGACGAACCCTGATGGCAACTATAGCCCGAAACTAGCCGATATTTAGTCATATAAATTTTTGTGTTATGATTATATGCAACCTGACACATTGTAAGATCTTTGAATATAAACCTATTCTGCAACGGACCTGAAATTACACTGGATTTGTTGACGTCATCATAACGTCTGATGACCTTCTTAGATATTATTTTTTCTGTTTATTTATTTTTCTTTAAGCCTAAGAAATTAATAACATAAAATAATATACTTAAACCTACACAAGTTTTGACGCCTACTTTTCGTTTTAATTAGTTTATTAATTTATACAACAAATTCGTAGCTTAAAGAAAAAATACATTTTAAAATATAGAGCATTGCATTAATTAACCATCACTTATATCAGTTAACAGTTTTGAGCTACTTGTATTTTGTGTATAGTTAAACTATTTTTCTTATTAAATTGGTTC